GCATGCTCACTGCAGCTCTCCACACCTCCTATAACACACACTACCTGAGCAGCACACTCACTGCAGCTCCCCACACCTCCTATAACCCACACTACCTGAGCAGCACGCTCACTGCTTCCCACACCTCCTATAACTCACACTACCTGAGCAGCACACTCACTGCAGTTCCCCACACCTCCTATAACACACACTACCTGAGCAGCACAGTCACTGTACTCCTTGCTCCTCCCCACACCTCCTCTGTGTTAATTCTGGCAGCAATTTTCAATTTAGTTTTAGTCATAGTTTTTTGCATTGTCACCATACGGGCAGGAGGAGCAGGCCCTGGGGAGGTAGCGCAGCTAAGCGGACAAGGGCACATGTAGGAGTGTGGGGATAGATGCATGGGATTGGATGGGATAGAGTGTGTGGGTGGGATTATGTTCTGTGTGAGTTAGTGTGGGGGAGGTCTTACCTCAGTGCCACTTGGGATTCGGGCCAGCAAAGAGCTTCCCTCCCGCCCGCCCTATTGGTATATTTCGTCACAGCTAGCCGGGGGTATGTCCTTGCCAATTGAGTTTGAGTGGTTACGTTTAAGTATATGGAATGAGATGAACAAGTTTTATAAGGTCTCAACCTCCCCTGCTTCAAACGGTTAACCACACTAACCACAACAAGAGGACATAGTCTTAAATTAGAGGGACAAAGGTTTAAAAATAATATCAGGAAGTATTACTTTACTGAGAGGGTAGTGGATGCATGGAATAGCCTTCCAGCTGAAGTGGTAGAGGTTAACACAGTAAAAGAGTTTAAGCATGCGTGGGATAGGCATAAGGCTATCCTAACTATAAGATAAGGCCAGGGACTAATGAAAGTATTTAGATAATTGGGCAGACTAGATGGGCCAAATGGTTCTTATCTGCCGTCACATTCTATGTTTCTATGTTTCAACCTAATGTAGAAACATCACATTCTATGTTTCTACATTAGGTTGCCTTAGGTGTCGTGCCCATCGAGCGTGGATAAGGTCGGGTGATGGCGGGCATTGGAAAGATATGATTTTATGACGAGGGAGGAGGTGAGAGGAAGTGGTGATTAGGAACCATTGTATGTTTATTGGCAAGGACGGTTGGGTCACTGTATAACACTATGTGTGGAGTTATATATGTATATATGTTAATTTATGCTTATTTATGTCTAACGTTTTGGTTACAGAAAGAAGAGATTTAATAAATAAAGTTATGGATGTGTTATGCAGTAATTTAGTTTGTGATAATAAATGCTGTGGCCTGTTCATCCATACTAAGTGGTCTGTCGTTATTGGGGGTGGGGGGGTAAATGGGTTTAGATTTGTGCTAGGCTGCATCGCGATTCCCCACTACGTACATACATGTTTACTACCTTATACCAACCCACCCATAATAAAAACACTGACACTCAGGTATGGGTCAATATTTCCACAGCTTTAATTTTATTATAATCATAATAATAATAATAATGATAATAATAATAACAATAACATATGAATAACTTTTTAAAGTCATTGTCCACCCCCAAATCCTCAGCCATCCAACATTATCACTTCCCCACATATCAAATCACAAGGCAATGACCTGTGATATAACAATATGATATAACATAGTATAACAATCATGCAAATATTACATAAACATACATATGATTACATTGGCTCTCAGGAACAGGACACTTCCATACAAAATAGGTCAATCCCTCTGCTGTGCCTGGGAGATTATTGAGAGGGCACTGTATTAAACTCAATTATCTCCAGGCACAGAAAACACACATTTTTACAAAACCCCAAAAATATCTTTAAACACACACACAGGAATTTCCTGGAAGTCATAATTTGTCCGACTCCATGCCCAAAACAGTTCCAGAGAATCAGGGCTTGTGGTCGGTCTAGTTTGGTAGTTTAAAAACCGAGCATAGTCAATATTCTTACCCTGGAGCTTGTTCACCTTGCTCGTGGGAACGTTTCCACTGAACAGTGCCCTTCTAGGTTGTGTAGAATCGAACGCAGGCGATCCTGGAAGTCCAGGAAAACAGTTCCATGAACTCAACGACAAAACACTGTGGTCGTTCATGCGAACAGCGGCTATGAAGGACCGCCTGGAACCCCGATCGGGTACCTCTGTCAATCGCTGCTTCCTAGTACTTGCGAATAACATAAGTACTGCACTGGAACACCATAACCACCATACACCCCACAAACCGCTGCAGCTTGGTTGGGGTCTCATCGTCCTCCACCCACCCTGGGCCCAAGACCAGGATCCAGCTTCCAGTAGGTAGACCTCTCCTAGTCCAGAGAGCGTATCAGGAACAGCTCTTACAAGAGCTTAGTGATTATACTCAGGGGAGTATAGTGATTATAGCAATCCCCAGAGTGAATTAAGTTCTCCAATCCCCCAAACATGAGCCTAGACTTCATGAAGGGTAAAACAAGTGTGTTTAATGGAAGCCAAAGCTGGCCTTTTATGCAAATTTCCCAAGAAGGTTGACGCCCAGGTGGACCTTGTTGGGCACAGGGACACAAAGCGTACAAGCCAATAGAAATAATGTAACAATGAATGACACTCCCACATACAGTACACAATCCCTCCCCTCTGCCTGTGATATAATTAAGGCAGATAATACATTAACTTAATTATCCCCAGGAAGAAAAGACACACATTTATATAAAGTCCAATAAGTACCCCAAAACACAACACATCCCCTGATAGCCCTGATCTGGGAGAAAAACAAATCCAAAAATCACTCAGATCAGAGCAGGGGTCCAGGAAATTCCTGGAAGTCTCTTTTTGACCGACCGCACGCATGGTTTCATGCCCAAAACAGTTTCAGAGAATAAGGCTGTGTGGCCAGTCTATTTTAGAAGTACCGTTATAGTACCAAATTAACGAATGAAATGGTGAATGACCATAGTCAATGTGTGTCCCTTGTTCGTGGGCTTCGACTCACCGAATGCCATTCGAATAGTCAAAGTTCCTTGGAAGGTAACTGTTCAGCGGTGTTCGTGCCGTTGTGTGTCCGATTTGAGTTCCATGAACTCGACGACAAAACACTGCTGAACACGTTTCGACCAAATAAGATGGCCGCCACCAAATGTTCGAATGTCGAATGGCGGCTCCTTCGACTACTTCGACTGTAGCCGAAGTTCCACTTCGAAAGTTCGAAGACCATTGTTTCAAGTCCCAATAGGCACATGTAGTATCTTTAACCACAATAAATTAAAGGGGCCATAGTCACAGGGTAGGAGGCTGGCAAACAGACCCCTCCAAAAGTCAGTGGTGAAGTTCAGTTTGTCACAGCGGGCCACCCAGATGAACACTTAGAACACTGCGGTGAAAAGTGTTACAAACTGTCAATCTGGCTTTTCACAAGCTCCTGGGTGGACTCTGGTTCGTGCGCCTGTTCAGTTACTGAACCAACTATAAAATCCCAAGAACCAAGTCTGTTCACATAGTTTTAAAAAGTCTTTTGGCAGGAGGCTGGCAAGCAGGCCCCTCCAAGAACACGTGGCAGAGGCATTTCTGCGACAGTCATCATTTACAGAAGCCCCTTCCGTGTGCAAATGTTGATGGATTGGACGGTTCTTCCTCACTTCCTTCTTAGGAACCACTCCTAACGGAGACAACCGCAGGCCGGGCAGCAGGGGAGGTCCACAAACGGCCCCGCCATCCACCCAACTGACGCAACCACCTGGAAATTCCCCCACAAACTTTAAGTTACAAAAGCTCAAAGCAAACTCCCTGTCCCGAAACGGTATCACAAAACCTTGCGTAAAACCTGCAACAATTCTGCATCGCCCATATTACCATAGAGTCTTAGCCACAGCAGCATTGCATCTACTTTCATTAGGCCCCAAGGCACCCCTAAACCAAAGGGGTCTGCTGCCACCAGCTGTGAACTTACACATGCCTGCACAGTGTCGGGCCCTCCAAGGGCCAGGTCCTGTGCTGCATTGGCTCCTGTCTTCGCCCTATATGCCTTCCGACCACCAGGGGGTGCCCGGTCTCCATGGTCCCCCACACCTAGCATACATCTTAGGCCTACCCCACCAACTGCGGGGGCCTGCAATCCAAGCGCGGCTCCTACCGGTTCCAGGGCCTGCCAGTCGGCCTAAGCTCTGCCCCCGCCGCTTGCAGGACTGCTCCGAACCGCTCCCGCAGCAACGCTGTCCCCTTGTCCTGTGCTGCCTCCTGGATCCTGGCCATCAGCTCCTCCAGAGACCGCTCAGCCATTCTGAAAAAGAAAAAACAAACTTACCAGGCCCAAGCAATGCAAAAGTCATAGTCTTTTGACTAAAATGCCATTTAGGTAGTATTTTAGTCATCTGAATTGTTTTCGTTTTAGTCGACTAAAATCTGACTAAAATTAACACTGAGCAGCACGCTCACTCCTCCCCACACTATCACTAATAGGAAGGAGGAAGATGTAACCCCTGTATTTGTAACTAATAAAA